ACACTGACATGGAACATGCAAAGTCAAAGTCAAACAGGTTTCCCTACTCCAGGCCTTGGAACCTCTGACACGCTAGCAAAAGGGAGAGGTAGGGCATTGTATTTTCCCAATATACATGGAACCATATTTTGCTTTCTTATTTGGAAGAGCAACTCACCAAGCAGGTGTTCCCTAAAACCCAGAGTAGAAACTGCTGCTAGAAAGCAACATGATCACATCTTCAAAATGCATTTGAACAAAGTCCAAAGTGGCTCCAGAGACATATGTCACTTTTACCCAGAGGAGAAAGGGTTGACATGAACATTCCATTTTATAGATAATGGAGGCAAAGCTCATAAGGTTAAGTGGTTTGTTCTGTATCAGTCATGCAGCTATTAAATCAGATAAACCAGTACTGATCTATGAGCCCAGGGCAAGAGAAATCAGGTCAGACCAAGGGGGAATCAAGCAAGGGGCCTAAATGAGACTCCTTGTCATCTCTGCCTCTTCTCACAATGTTGTCTCTGCATTTGCTACCCAGGGAAGGAGCAACTTCCGTAGAAGCCAGAGGAAGAAGAAGGGACTGCAGGCAGGCTCAGACATGGCCATTAGGAAAAGGCTTCAATCTTCTGGGGTTTGTGCTCTGGGAAGGGTCTTATGGGAGAATTCTGAAGGAAGGGTATGGCTGGGAGAAAGGAAGTGGTGGTGGGAACCCTGGAAGGGCCCAGTGAAGAGGGCAGAGCTGCTTTAAGGATTCCGAATGCCGTGGGAATTGAAAGCATCTCACAAAGGAATCAATCTGATCATGAGTTGTCTCAGTTCAGCAGTTTAAGAACTCAAGGCAATGAGCTGGACACTCCCCACATATTAACATTAGTGCCTACACCTTTGTGCAGTCTCCCTATAGACTTTGTGCAGTCTGCCATAGAAGACCACATAAAAAGTCCTCATGGACTGCTGCCTAGTGAATGCCAACATTGTGGAGAATGTCCTTCAGCAGAGAGACTTGGGCAAGGGGGAGTTCACTAGGCTCAAATTGTAAAGAGAAGACCCCCAGCTATCCAGGACATACGCTTGACCACATGAACTTTGGAGTTTGATGATCACAAGTTCAGATCCCCTGTGTGGCCACTTAGTTGCCATGTAATCTAGGGAAGTTACTAAACCTCTCTGAGCCTACCCTTCCTCATCTGTGAAACAGGGATCATAATGGCTCTATTTCATAGGGATATTGTGAGGACTTTAAACAATAATGAACAAAAAGCAAAGTGTGTCTCAAGATAGAATCCAAGGTCCCACCTGCGATGTATCTTATGGTGCATATTTCACTAACTGATGTGGCTCAGGTGGTTGGGTGTCATCCTGCAAAGTGAAAGGTCACCAGTTCAACTCCTGGTCAGGGGACATGCCTAGGTTGTGGGTTTAGTCCCCAGCCCAGGTGTGTACTAAAGGCAACCAAACAATGTTTCCCTCTCACATTGATGTTTCTCTCCCTCTCTTTCTCCCTCCCTTCCCCTCTCTCTAAAAATAAATACATGAAACCTTAAAAGAAAAAGAGTTTAAAAAATACAGATTTCCATTTCTTACCACAGACCTACTGAAACAAATGCTAAAGGATATTTTTATGTACAGGAAAGTCTAAGAAAGATTCATAGGACATTTAGTCTGTGTTTGGCAAAAAACTCAGTAAGTTAACAAATCACCTGTTTATTATCATTTATAATATGCAAATATGAGACCTCTTTTCCAGGCTGGACAGCCTAGTGCTCAAAATTAAAATTTATCTGAAATCCAACTCAATAGCTATTCACTCAACCTAGGAAGCCTGAACAAAGCACCAATCATTGGGAAAATTCAAATAAAAACAGTAATTATAGCAGCCTAGGTGGATGTAAAGTAATCTTTTGCAAATGTTCCCAAGAAATCAAGTAGTCATAGTTTTTCTTACCTTTTTGCTTTAAAGTAGGAGTATAAAGAAAACTTTCCAAGTCATGATAAGCAATATCATGTACGCACTCCCTGTGGACTGGCATCTTGCCTGGGTAGGTGCTTTGTGAAGGGGGGGACCCTCATAATAGGGAGAATGATTTCTATACACAGGTTGGCTGGTAAATATCAACTGTGAAGCAATTCTCAAAGGCCTCTGGGCTAAATTTGCAGGGAAACCGCTCATGAATTTTCCAAGACATTGAGTCCCACAGCAGCTGCATCTGTTGGTTCCCTCTGCCACCCCTAACTACACCAGCCATTCACCTGGAAGATGTCCAAATACGATCTTTGCAAAAACGAGTCGTCCTCTCCTTGTCACACAGAGAATCAGGTTATAAAAGAAGAAGGTCACCCCAAAAAACTGCATGGTAATCAAATGCTAAGTATCCTGAAAAAGAATCCCTTGCCATTTAGTGATTGAGAAAATAAAAAATAGCAAAGAAACTTTTCTAGAATATTACATTTAAAATCTCACTACGATTCCCATAAAGTGCCATCATATTCAACAAGGATTAGCATTCTATGTTCTGTCAGCTAAAAAAATTCTTCCCTCTGCTTCCTCTCATTGACATCAAAATATCACACTGAGTTTGTATTTACCCAGAGCTCTCCTATTTGATTATACAGCTAGGAAATGCTTAATGTGACTGGGTACCTTTCAGGAAAGATTAAGAGAAATAGTTTGGGGAGCATAGCATCTCTAAGATTTGGTTTTCCAAATTATTAAAAACTGCAGCTCTCTATAAGATCAACCACACAAAGCAGCTGATTGTGTCCCTTGGTTGCCCTCCGAGTCTTTTAATTGCCCATTCTCTCTGTTGCTGATGCAATTTAGGGTAAACTCAACACAGAACCACTTTGCCTTCTCTGCAAACGACTCAACAAAGACCATAAATGTCATCACCAAATTGGTGAGCAATAGTTCAAACCTTTGCATCTCTCATTCCTTGAGACATCTGTGTCCCTAAGGATAACAATCCAGGCTTAAAGGAAATCTTGGGAAAAGGAGCCAAGAGCTTTTCCTGTTGAGGCTAGTGGGAGGAGGGCAATGAGGCTCGATAAAACTGTCCTCAAAATAAGTTCCATCTTAAAAAGCTTATGAAGGGAACGAGAGAGTTAGTTTGTTTCTTAAGGGGAGGCCCAAAAATAAAAAATAAAAGGTTTGTTGATGGAGAACTTTGGAAGGCTGAGAGAGGTTGAAGACATCACTGCAGAAAGATTGCCTAGTAACAGAGCTTTCTTGTATTACACCCAAAGCTGTGTACCATCTGAGGCTGATTCAGGAAAATACTCAAATCTCCTGGTAATTTCCTGCAGACAGGACGTTTAATCATCTCCAAGCCTCTACCACAAGAGAAAAAATGTATTAAACCAAATGATTCACACTCTTAAAATGAATCTGCCTTCAGAACAAGAACCGTTTTCTGCTCTTGAAAAGCAGCCATGATTTGTTATTCTAACAAAGTGTTCTTTTCCTCCAAACAGAAATAAAAGTCACTCAAGGAGTGCTTGTACTGATTTCTGTTCTGCATTTCTTGAAACTTCCATCCAGTCAACAGTTTCTCCTGGCAGGTTCTCAGAAATCCAGGGAGAGCTGGGTAGTCAGTGACTAAGAACACAAGATCATTTTTATAAGCTTCACTCCCCACCCCCCAACTTTTTGGCCCCATGGGAAGATGTTTTATTGTAGAACGAGCAGAATTAGCTGTATATATATAAATTCTTCACTGCTAGGCTCACTTGACACCTTTATCTGAATTGCTCAACAGCTGGGAAGATTTGGCAATTGATGATTTGAGAAGAAAAGGCCCAAATCCTCCCCAAGTGGTATTTGTTCTTTCTGTACATACCGGACCATGTTCATCTCTCTAATTACTCAACCAGTTGCACAGATAAAAACATCTGTTTGCAGAAAGCAGGGAACCAAAGTATACAAATGATTCACACTATCTAAACAAGTGTAAATAAAGGCCAGCCCAGCAAAGAGGGCCCCTAAAAGCCAAAATAATTTAATACGGATGAAAATGGAGTTTGGCAATCTGTGCCTCAGACTTTGCTCCAATTTTGAAAGGTATTTCTTCCAGCTGCCTCATCTTTAAAAAACAAAACAAAACCAAAAAACCTCTGACCCTCTGCATTGGGCTCTCAACTTCTAGCTTAGGTATGCACACATGAACAGGCCAGGGACAGAGGGGGAGAAAGCTGAAACTGCAGCTTTTAAATAAATCTCCCCCAACCTCTATGAATTATTTTGATTTTAAAATTTCCCAGGACACCTCAGACTCTCCAGGTTTGTATGATCCCGTTCCTCACCAAGTCCTGACCTGGAAGACCAAGGTTCCAGTTAGCTACACCCCAAGAGCTTTCTTATCCTATAGACTCCCTTACATAGAGTTAGGAACACCAGGAGAGAAGGGGGTCTCTCCCTCACTTCCACCCCGTATTCAGAGAGAACAGATGAATAAATTCAAAGTTGCTTAATTATAAAAATCCGTCAAGGAGTAAAGGAATTCACTTGCAAAGTTATAGGAAGATAAGCCATAAGGAGTGTGGGGAGAACGAAATAATTTTTTAAGAAGACCTTTCTGAAGACATAAACAATATTTTTGACAGTGTAAGAGAAATAAGTAGCTCATTAGTAACACAACACATACATTTAAAATATTTGAGGGAAATAAATTGTAAGTGTATAAAGGCTTTAAAAAGCAAGTTCTGGGAAGTTTCACTGCTTCCTCTGAAATCGTCTTAATACGATAAGAACAGTATCCCCTCCTCCTGATTATATTATTATTACTATTATTGGTTAATAAAGTGGCAAAGCAAAAGCTGGCAGACACTCACCAAAATGTTCCCTAGGTCTGGGTTCTCTCCCAGAGCTCACGACCTCCCCGCTGTCTGTGTGGCAAGGAGCATCTCTCCCACAGGTTAATTTCCCAGTTCAAGGACCCCTTTTCCCTGGGAGGGTGGTGAAAACCAGGAGCAAACGCACCTCAGCTTCCCCTCCATGCTCCCGGGCCACGGGGGCCACTTACCAGCCTCAGCCTTGCATTGCTCGCCTCTGCGGCGCCTCCGCGACAGGGAGCTGGGGGGAGCCGGGAAGGGGCCGCAGACCCAAGGGCAGCGGGGTGCGGCGGCTGCTAAGAAGCCCAGTGGGGCATGGGCTGACAACTGCCCAAAACCAGAGGGGGCCCTGCGGGGGATCCGTGCAAGGCGGGTGTCATTCCCTGGGCAGTGGCAGCTGCTCCATGCACAGCTCCAGATCCAGAAAAATCTCTAAGGTCCAGGGGAGAGACGCTCCAAGCTCTCCAGGCTGCCTCCCGACTGCTTAAAGGGACGCCTCCCCACCTACCGCTCTGCTTATTGGTGAAGATTCTGAGCTATAGACCAATCCCAGACCTGTTCCCAAATTGAGATTTCAATCAAGGGAGCTACTGCTTTAAAATTAAAAAGGGCTGATGGGGGTGGGGGAGGCAGGCGCGGGTATTCTGCCACCTTTCAGAAGCAGGACACAGGCTCTCGGGCACTTGCACACAGAGGTCCAGGGAGCTGGCAGTGGCTAAAGAGCAAGGTTATACTGTGCAGAGCACATTAGGAGGACGGTATGCTGGACCCTTGACCTTCATCCCTCCCATCCACGTCCCAGCAACTCACTCATCCTTCAAGGCTTATCCAATGCATCACATATGCTTGAGACCCTCTATTCCTGGGAGGAGTTTCTAAACCTCCCTATGATTCCCCCATTCCAAACACTTATCACACTTCCACTTTTTTTGCATTAACTGTCTCTCCCTTTACACTGTAAATTCCATCAGAGCAGGGCTGTTTTCATCCATCATCACACTGTGTCACTCCCTGCCTGGAACACTGTGAGCTCTCAGTAAATACTTCTTGATTGAATGAATGAATGAGGAAATGAGCAACAAAACACGTCCTGTGTCGGCTGTGACAATATCAATGTAAATGAAGAGGCAGTATTCAAGAGGCTGGGTGTTCAGTTCAGACAAGACTTTGTTGGAAGATGGCCCCCATAACTTGTGCCTCAGTTTCCTTGTCTGTAGAGCATGATCATGAAATCTCCCATCTCACAGGGTTATTGTAAAGAATGTATTAGCTCACCTCTGGACTAGAGGAGGTGCTCAATCAATAGCTGTTGTTATTATCGAAATCAAACTATATTTGCTGGAGGTTGGGGCTGGTCTGACTGCTGGTTTAGCTTCTTGGTGAGTACACAATCATTCATGAAACTGATACGAATTAAGTACCAACTCAGTGACAGAACCCATGCAAGGTGCTGAAGTCACCAATGAAGGACAAAGTCCTCAACCTCAAGGAACTCATAGTGAGGGTCGGGGTGTGTTTTAGTTAGGATTTTTCAGAGAAACAGAACCAATAGAATACATATATAATGAGACTTATTAGAGGAATTGACTTGCATGGCTATGAGATTATGGAGGCTGAGACATTTCACGTTCTGTAGAATGCAAACTGGAGAACCAAGAAAGCTGGTGGTATAATTCAGGACAAATGCACAGGACAGAGAATCAGAGGCCAATGGTATAAATCCCAGGCTCAATCCAAAAGCCTGAGAACCAGGAGTGCCAACGTCCAGAGAAGGAGAATATGGATGTCTCTGTGCAAGCAGAGAGAGCAAATTGACCCTTCCACCTCTTCACCTTTTTGTTCTATTTGGGCTCTTCACGGATTGGATAATGCCCACCCATGTTGGTGAGAGTGGTCTTCTTTAGGAAATCTACTGATTCAAATGCTAAGCTCTTTCAGAGACATCTGCACAGATGCCCCAAAATAACATTTACCAGTTCTCTGGGCATCCCTTAGACTAGTCAAGCTGACGCATAAAATTAACCATCATAGGGTGGGGAAGAAGAGAGACAACAGACAGACAAATAAAGACAATTATGTTTAAAGATACTCAAGCAAATACATATTTACAGGAATGTTTGTGGTAGGATAGTGTATAATAGCAAAATAATGGAAAACAATGATCCAATAAAACTAGGGGAAATGGTTAAATAATTTATCGTACGTCCATTTCATGGAATATTACAGTCATGAGAAAAGAAAGAGGCAGAGTTAAGTGCACATAACAATAAACAATGAACTACAAAATGCATTGCTAAGTGCAGTGCAGAAGGTAAAATGCATCCCCAGTTACATACATAAATCCTCACATATTGCGTATACTACATATGCTGTATGTGCATAAATGCTTCTAGAACTATACCTAAGAAAATGCTAAACGTTATTCTATCTAGCAAGGTGGTTTGAAAACTAGGCAGGTCTAAGAAGGGAAGAAGACCAATTTAATTTCATCATATATCCATGGATATTATTAGAATATTTTGCCATGATAAACTCTTAGTTCTGGCAATATGGCAATTGATGACAGCCTGAAAATCCCAACCTTTCAAACACCTAGATATGATAAATAAAATCTAAAAAACAAACTTCTTTTAAGTGCTTAGCTGACTCACAATAAAGATAGGAAAATTCCCAAGTAGTAGAAATAATGAAGGAAGTCAAAACAAGAATGGTAAGCATCGAAACCCATGGTGGCTATGAGGTAAGGGGAAGGTGACTGGCAGCAGGGGAAAAGTTTATCTGGGTTCCCTAGGGTCTAGAGTTTTAATGCCCATGCAGGAGAGAAGATAAGGTGTTGGGACAAGAAGCAGAAAGTTGTTATGAAGCCTCTTCAGAAAACTAGGAATACTCACTGGGGGCTGTGCCCTCAGTGAACAAAGAGATTAGAAAAATTGCCAACCAGCCCAACATAACCTGTCTGTCACTACCTGTGTTCTGAGTAGGAGTGAAAAATTTAAGCTGAGAATTAGAGACCTTAGACCTATGCCTTTCTTGAGAGTGGAGTACTAATAACAAGTCAGAATCAGGAAGCTCTACCTGAAAAATTAATATAAAAACTGGTCTGGTCTTATTCATGATATGCCAAGAATACCTCACAGAAGCAAATGAAAAATTGCTCTGGGGAGCAGTTCCATAACCCAGGCCACAGTTGAACCTGCAGAGAATGAGCTCCCAATATAGTAATAACATCCAGGAAAATGATGAGTCACAAGTCAACAAATATGAGGATCAGAGGATAAGAGTAAAAGGTCATAAAGCAACCTTCTGAAAAAGACCATGAAATGAAGTTTAAAATGATTAAAAATGTTAATGCTAGAATTGAAACCCTAAAAAAGGACAAGACATAATGTTTATCTCCCCCATAGATTCATTAAAATTAAAAATTCGATGGATAAATTAAACAGAGGGTTAGTTACTGCCGAAGAGAGAAATATGAGTCTCAGGACATTATACAAAACGAAACACAAATGGATAAAGAGCTGAAAAATTTGAAAGACAGATTAATAGATATGGAGGCTGGAATGTAATGGCCCAACATACATCTAATAGGAGTCCCAGTGGGATAGAATAGAGAAATTGAGGAGAGGCATAATAGCAAAGAAATTTCTAGATTTTATAAGACTCATAAATCCTCAGATTTAAGAAGCACAAGCCAGCTCAAGCAAAATAAGTAAACATAAGGACATGTGAATATATTAATTATTCATAAACATATAGTTAATAAGAAAACTGAAGTGAGGAAAAATAAAGCAATAATGCAATAACAGAGGTAAGCAGACAGCACTTAGTACTACAGAAGCGAGGCAACTCTCCATTCCATATTTAGAGCAGGACAATATTGCCCCAAATCTTTCATTCCCAAATATAGGTGAGGCAAAAGCAGGTTTACAGTTGTTGTGAGTACATGAGAGTTTATTCTTGTATTGTTATTTATTAATTGTTGTATGATTTTCCATACAAACAACTATAAACCTACTTTTGCCCCACCTTGTATAATGAATTCTGAACTATACTAGGTTCTCAAAGGCCTAGCTATACATTATATAGGGTGCCCATGTACGAAGGCAAAGTAGCTGAGATCTCCTGGGAGAGGCGTATTCATTCAGGCATCAAACAAAAGTGGCAGAAAAAAAGAAAGAAGAAAAGAGAAAAACAAATAAACTGAAGCCCCTGTCCTCAAGAATATTATTCTGGGGGTGAAGGCAGTATATAAACAGCCTATCACAGAATGGAGAATGTCATAATAAGGGAGTAGAAACTGCTGTGAAACCACAGAGGAACATCTCAACCAGCCTTGCAGGAGGTGGAAACACAGGGAAGGCTTCCCAGAGGAGGTAACATCAGCACTGAGAGAGCTGGTACTTCAGAAAAGAAACGTTAGAGTTAGGCCTGGCTTTAATGCCCAGCACTGCCACTTTCTGTTTTGTGACTTTGGTCAAGTTATGTAACTTCCCTAAGCTTCATTCATCTCATCTGTAAAATGAAATTCATATCACCAGTCTGGCAGTTGCTTAAAGGTTTAGTGTTATATATATATCACTATATACATGTATGTATGTATATATGTGTGTATGTATATATGTATGTATATATCACTATATATTATATATATGTAATTTAGTGAAATATATATAATTTAGTGAGATATATATCATTATGTATATGTCATTATATATATTTTTATATATATCATTAGGCAGAAGGCATGACCTATAAATTAATTTTCACAATGGATAACTAGTATTATTATTAGATGAAATGCAGTGCTTTGGTGGGAAAAAATGCCTTCTGTTTTAGAAGGCAATTTTTTTCTAAAAACTGAAGAAGACAGAGGCTTCAGCCTGTTTTCATAAAACTACCTTGATGAATATGAACTGTATCCATCGTGAAAAAAGTACATTATCATGTTATCAAAATATGAAGTTATTAGATATTGTCCTTTTCTTAAAATAACTTAAAATACAGGCCACCCTCCCCAATAACTAATGAAGGCTGTACATGTTAAGTATCAAATATGTGATTATCTCCCGTGTTAAATCCCAAAATTGTGAGAAAATTCCTATCTATATCATTGAACCTGCAGTTTCCCCACCACAAATCAAGTTAAAAGAATTCAGTTCATTTTTCTTTCAGTGTTGCTGGTTATATTTTTCTTGCTTGTTTGTTTTATTGATTAGGTTCCACTAAACAAGCAAGGAAAATATAACCAGTAACACTGACAGGAAAAAGAAAGGGGCAGTATGAGAAGGAGGGAGGCAGGTAACGGGGAAAAGAAGGGGAAAGGTCAGATCAAGGAACATGTATAAGGACCCACAGACAAAGCCAAAGTGGGGAAGGATTGAGGGTGGGAGGTGGAGGTGGGTGGGGCAGGG